TCCTTACCCTTCAAATCAACCAGTTAAACATGGATGGTGTGCTGTGATCAAAACAAAACCATTGGGTCATATTAAAATTGACGATCTAGTGGAAGATGTTGCTTACCAAGACGATGAAAGTTCTCAAATTAATGATGTGGTTGAAGTTGAACAAATTACAAATTTGTGTGATACAATGGTTGAAGGTCATCAAATTGATGCATTTGTGTTATTGGTAGAAAATAGTGTGGATGAAGAGTATGAAGAGTTTAGATTTGAGGATACTATTGGACCAGATGATGAAAATAATATGGATGAAGAGCATGAAGAGTTTGAATAGATCATTTTTATTAATTTTTACTTAATGTATTATATGTGTATCTTCGGATCAGGTTACTTAATTTTACTTAATGGATGAAAAGAGTTTTTACTTATTATTTGCATTATTTTTATTTGTGTTGATTTATTTATTGACAACTCTCTCAATATAGATAAAATGCCACCCCGACTTTACAAAGGTATAGGTAAGACCCAGTCTCGTCAGATAGCAAGGGTACGTGAGGTACCTCCCTCATCCATGTATGCTTCTCGCCCACATAGTCAGGTAGATCTAATGTCTATGGACACTTCTCATTCATTTACGACATTACTCTACTCCTCCCATATGGTTCCATATGGGAGTCCAACTTTTATTAGTCCGTTTGGGCATTTTCCATCTGGGGGATCCTTCATGCAGCAGCCCAAGGGATCTACTTTCCCACATGTATCGACATCCTTCATACAACAGCAGCCTAGGGGATCTTGTTTCCCATATGTATCGTCATCCTTCATGCAGTAGCCTGGGGGATCTAGTTTTCCACAAGTATCATCTTCTTTCACAAAACATCCTGAATGATCTATTTTTCCTCAACAATATTCTTTCACGCAACAGCCTGTGGGATCTAGTTCTCCTCAGCGGTCTTACTTCACACAGTAGCCTGGTGGATCTAGTTTTACACATCCTACCCAGGTACTATCATCCTTCTTGCAGCTGCCTGAGGGATCTAGTTCCTGCATTCCACATTCCACACATATACCTGCGCGTTAGGAGCAAGATGGTCCTATTCAAGAGGATGTTGAAGTTCATGAGGAGCCAGAAAATTCTGATGAAGAAGAGCATAATGGTTGAAGGATGACTTGTTATTAGGCCTGATGGGTCAGGGTTAGTTTTAATTTCAAATGTTTATTTAACTACAGATTTCCATTTTTATACTTAATTAGTACCTATTCTAATTGTTGTTGTTTAGTTTTTATCCATGTCGGGATGCTGCAAAAGCTATAAAATGGGTCATTCAACTAATGTATAAAAAAATGATTAAGTCTTTTGGAGAGCTGTCAGAAGATGAGAAAGGCAGAATTTGAGGAAATGAAGAAGAAGCAATTTGAGATGGAGGAGCAAATGCGATAATTTTTTGCCTCACATTTGAATTGTCCTGTCCAGGAAGATGAAGACGAATAAGATATATTTAGTAGTGATGATGAATATATTTTCTTATTATTATTTATATTTGTGGTGTGAATATCCTGTGACTAATACTTTTATATATTTTAATGATTATAATTATTAGAAATTTTGAATTTTTTAATAAAAAATTATTTTAATTTTTGCATTTTATTAATTTTGTGGTGTGAATAACTTTTGTATATTTTTAAATTTTTTTATATTAAATAATTAACCTGCGAAACTAATATCATCTAGCTGCCAGATTTGAAAATAAAATTCATCAGTGGCATAACATTCACGTCACTAAATTTTATAGTTTAGACGTTTGTGACGTGAATTCCATGTTACTAATTAGTGACGTGATATTCACATCACTAAATGTGCTTTAGAATTTATTTTTTGTGATGTGTGATTCATGTCACTAAATTAGCTTAGGCTAACATCTCTTCATGCTTTAGAATTCATGCATTGCGATGTGGAAAGCTTGTCACAATTTAGTGACATGCTTTTCACGTGGGAACAAAGTACAATATTTTTGTATGTTGCGACGTGAGTTACATGTCACTAATTAGTGACATGATATTCATGTGGCAAATGTTGCCACGAGTGCTCCAGCGACGTGTTTTGCCCATGTCGCTAATTTTGGTTAGGATGTGATTTTTGCCTTAGTAACGTGATTTCCATGTGGGTACTGGCTATATTTCTTGTAATGTATACTCTTAGATAGAGATAGATGTGTAGTAATAAATTTAGTATATTATTTTTTTGAGAAAATAGGATCTACAAAGTTCCTCTATAAATATGCGATACAAACTAAATATGCGTAGATACTTCTGATACATTTTCAACTACTCAAAGATTTGGTACACAAGAAGAGGTGATAAGGTGGATTAAAGAAGTTGGAATCTAAAATAAAGTAACTGTTATTATTACTCGTTCAGATACCGAAACAGACAAGAGAGAGAGAGAGAAGTAACAAAATATTATTTGATTGTGATAAAAGTGGAAAATACAAGGATAAAGGTAGTGGAACACAAAGTGCGACTAAAAAATGTGGATGTCCATTCAAAATCAGGCCAACTCCGGCGAAAGATGGGTCTGGATGGAAGGTTGATGTAAAATATGGAGTTCATGATCAAGATTTACCTGATATATTAGAACCTCTCCAGCCACAGGCCTCACTTTGTTACACTCCTAAGTAATCAACAACAGGTCCAACAACAACTTCTTCAATGACATCTTGAGGGCTCCGGAACACTCCCCTAATGGGAAAATAAAGCAGGTAAGAGACGTCATCTAGAGTAATGCTTGTCTCACCAAATGACATGTGAAATAAAAATGTCTCTAGAAGTAATCTCCATACAAATGCTGATACCTGGTTTGTGTCTATTTTCATCAAACTAGTTCTCTGAAGTGAAGATAGACCAAACCGAGAAATCCAACTCTCCACCCATGGTGGAAGAATATGAGGAACCCTCGCTATAAGCTTTAACCCATGTCCAAAAGCTTTCAACTCTTTCTTCAGACCACTTTCATGAAAACAATTAAAAGTACACATATTATAAAACACAACATTAAAAATTCAAATATTATTCAACATAAAGTAAAGTTCTTTTACTTACCTCACCAAACCATAAATGTCGAGCAACGGGATGCTCGTACTTTAACAAGAGAGACGTATCGTACGACCCTTCTGGAAAGCCAACCGACTGTGGTGCGGATGCATTTGCACCAATATATTCTTCCTCACCTGCCAACGACAATGGAGTGCCTCGCCATAAACCACGATATGGAATCCTACCGTTTTTGCCTCGTGTTCGCGCCACTATCAAAATAACAAAAAAAATACATTAAAAAATTATTTAAAAAAACCAATCTAGACACATTTTAAAAGGGTTCTGATAAATTTTTTTTCAAAAAAACAAAACACATTTGAAAGACTTTTGCTGAAAATTTGATCAAACCGAGTGACTTTTCCTTTGAGTTCTGGTAAAAATATAAAATCAAAAGACTTACTGAATCTTTTCCAGTTTGTAACACGTGAACCAAAAGAGTTGAAAGATTTTTTTCGATTTGAAAAGCGAAATTGTTTGTTTTGGAAGACTTGAAACGAAAGTAAAGTAAAAATGAATATATGCGAAATATAATTCATTTATATAAAGGTATTTTGGTCCAAAAAAATATAATGTAAGAAAGATAATTGATGAGATGTGGAATAAAATTTTCTTCTAAAAAGCGTTAATGACACAAAAAAAAATAACAGAAGGAATGTTGCTGATGTAGAGAAAGAAAATAGAGGTCTGCAAAAGAAGAAAGATGAATTTCAAGTTTTAGGATGCGTTTGGTTTGAAAAAAAAATAATTGAGTAAATTGATTTTATTTAAAAATAAGTTGAAAATAAGATAATATTTATTTGAATAAATTCATGGAAGAATAAGCTAATTAATAAAATTTAATTCAAAAATATGAATTTTAATTTAAAGTGAAATTAATTATAAAAAACATAATCAAATTTAATTGATGCAAATTATGTCAAAATTAATTTTATATATTTAAATACAGTTTTGAATGTTGAAACGTGAAAGTATATATACTCTTAAATAGAGATAGATGCGTAGTAATAAATTTAGTTTTATTATTTTTTTAGAGAAAATAGGATATACAAAGTTTAAAATATACTATTAATTAATTACTATTACCTATCCCATAATATTATATTGTAAAATTTAAATAATAATATAACATGATTAAATGATAAACTTTTATTAAATATCACTATAAAATTATTTTATATTATGAGATGTTTATCGATTACTCTTATTTTTATGACTTAGAAGTTAAAGTTAAAGTAGGCTTTTTTTATAGACTAAAGTTATTTTAAATATGTTTTTGGCGTATTATGAAATTGTTATTTGTCGTTTAGTTTCCACCATTAGTAAAAGTTGTTGTTTTATAATGTTATTAGGAAAAGTTGTTGATTAGTGCAACCGGTATATAAATATTAAAATATTTTTTTGATTTTAAAATAACTGTTATTTAAAATTTTTCACACAGATTAAAAAAATGTAAAAATATTGTTATAAAATATTATATTTTTATTAAATTAATTTTATTAATATATTAAAAATAATATATAAAATAATAATTATATGATATGATTATAAAAATAATAATTATTACTATATTTTAAAATAAAAATAACATTTATTTTAAAATAAAAATTTTCTCCCAAAACAACCCGTTATTTTAAAACGGAGGGAGGGAGTAACATTTTACATAATGACACATAAGTACTAGGAATTTTTTCTTTTGGATTATTCATTATAAAAATACACATAGTACAAAACCTCATCATCAACCCATAGATTTTCATATTTAAACATTCCACCCAAATTCTCCCAAAACCACACTCAAACCGACACAATTTCACACTTTACAACATAGCCTCACACATGTAATTAAAAAACCATATTACAACACTTTAATCATTCATTATTCGCATAACAAAACACAACCAAGTAGAAGATTATACGACTAATTAATAACCAGGGTTTGCCAAAACGTAACCCTCAATAGCCTTGATAAGCCCAGTTCCTTTGGCCTTTGTTTCATCACGAACTGCATCAGATAGAGCTGCATCACCTTTGGTGTGATACTTCACAGAAATTTTAACGATGGATCCACCGTCAGAACCAGCCACAATAACTGTCTCAAATGTAACTTTTTCCAAACTTTCATGTAGCCCTGGTCCTCCTACTAAGCTGTAGTTGTAACCAAAGTTTGCTTCATCAATTGCGTCTAGTTTGTGTAGCACATAGTTGATTTTTCCATCTACAATACAATACAAAAATCATCATTCATAACTTAAACACAATCACATACACAGACACAGATTTTTTCAGAGATTTCGGTGTTACAGAGTTACAGAGGTTATAATTACATGATATATGTTGTTATTATATTACCTTCAAGAATGGATAGCTTCTTGATGGTTCCTGGTCCTCCATTTCCTTCGATGATTTCGACTCCTTGTGCTTCCTTGATCACCTTTGGGACGATTTCGTCGGCGTCTTTTGCGAGAGCTTTGTAGAGTTTAGGTGGTGCAACAGTTGAAACGTATTCATCTTCAAAAACAATGACACCCATGATAAAAAGGATAAATTAGTATGAAAGAAGAAAAAGAGAGGAGTGGTTTATGTGTATATGAATAGAAGTAGTTTATAAGTTTGTGATGAGGTTTGAGAGATAGTGAGGGATGGTATTTATAGAACTTTGGAGGCTATATAGCTCATGTGGTTGTTGGTGAGTATGATGGTAAAATAGTAATATTACTGGGTTAGTGCTCTTTGTGATGTGTAATTTGGACTTACTTTTATTTGAGTTGCGAAACACAAGATGAGTTAGTCTAGCACTCCATGACTCAAAATGTAGGACTTATAGTTAATTGTTTCGGTGGTAATTACCCGATTTGATAAAGAAGATCGCAGTTCAATTTCACCAACTGCATTTAAAAAAGTTAAAATTATTTAATATTAGAATTGATTTTTCGAATCAGACTAATTGATTAAGTGAGTCAGATATTGGTGGTCAAGAAAAAAAGTTATGTAGGCCAGATTTAAAAATTACTTAGTTTATATTATCCTAAATTATTAATTATTTCATTTCATCAATTTTTCTTTAAAATAAATATTTAATAAAATTATTGACACACCAATAACTATTATTATATTGAATTAATAAAATGAAACTAAAAGTTTCAGCAAATGTTATCTCTATAAAGGATGCAAATAATTTGGTTTTCTAAAGCGTGACACTCCCTCTCGCATTAATTATAAGAAGTTTTATACAATGTTACAATCATAGTACAGGAAACCATCAAAAACAGTTAGTAACCGTTTAAATCTTGTCACACAAGGAGGAACAACAACACGACACCGATGATTAATCTCTCTCACTTTTTTCTATTCGCTGAATTTTTTGAATAATTTTTTAAATTCTCTTTAGAAGATTATGTTAATTTCTACTCGTTTCCGTTAAGAAATTACAAGTGTTAATTCTTGCATTCTTTTTGAAGAATTATTTGAGTTTCTCTTGTTTGAGAAATTATTGAGTTGTCAAATGACCATTATTAAATTCTCTTTGGAGAATTATTGAAATTTCTTTTGGTTTAGGAAATTTTTAAGACCGATTGTTAGACCAGATACTACGAGTGATATTTATACCATATTCAAATGGTATTCGTATCGTCACATGATGTATTTCTAGACCGATTATCTATTGTGTAAGTAGTAATTATATATTATAGAACTAGGTTGTTTTATCATGGAGATTGCTTTGCATAATTTTGAGCAGTGCCACGAAATATTTTAAAAGAGCGACGTAGTCCGCGACTCGATCTAGTAATTTATTTTATTGCTGATTTTCAAAAATGTGAAACAACAATTTTAAGACGTTTTGAAAATTGTCATGGCTACTACCGAAGAAATTATTGGTAATACTGCGACCATTGTGTCTAACAAACCGTTCAAGTTTGAGGGAGCACTGTTAGAACATTTAAATCTTTGGAACCAGTAGGATCTGCCGATGCATGATTGGGTGGATTCAAAAGTAGTGGGCATTTTTTCGAATTTGAGTACTAATGTCGCTATAAGCGATACTGACATTATTGTTGGTGATGCTACGAAGTGGTTAGTCCTTTTGGTTCCATAATACAATAGGATATGCAACTCTTTTGATGACTTCATGGTTCTATTTTATGAGTGTCTGTTTACAAGTATATGACCTCAAATGCCCTTTTTTGAATTTGAGCTAGCCACCTTAAAACATTTGAAGATTTTCCCTTCCTAGCTTCATCCGGGGTCATTGACATATGTGAGGGTCTTCAAATTATGTGTCGACTACAAATCCTGGAAGCTCTCTCCCAGCTTATTTTTCAATCTTTTTCGTCTGAGGCGTGCTTTCCTGTACAACTTTTGCAATCAGGGACTTCTTCACCTTCATTCGGCCATCCCCTTGGTTTGATCCATTCACTTTGGATTTGGGCAATTTCCTGGGACATTTCGTATTGGTGAAGCCCCTCACCACTACCACTAACTCTAATTTTTATATATCTTTGCCAACTCCCCTCAATACTGTCAGATTTTGTATTTGAAGTACTAATCTAATACCCACTTTAATCGGGATGTCGACTCCTATTATCCCCAATCAGGATCTCTTTCTCCGGGCGAGATGATAATGAAGGAAAAATGCAATCTTGGTTTCAAGGACTCGGTTATGAGGAAGGGTTCGATCTTGGTGAGGTGCCCCTACCGAGGTGAGGAAGAGGCAAATTGATATCCATGTTATCTTAAGTGCAATTGATTTTGAGGAGAGGAGGGAGATCTTTGGTGAGAGCAGAAAGTCTTCATGTTTCTATTTTATTTATACACGTGATTTCATTTTGCAGATAGCATGGACAAAGTAAGTAAGCTAAATATGTTTTACCTCTTTGTAGATGCCCAAGGTATCTGGGTTACGGTGAACATTGGTACCATTTCTTCTGCCCTCACTGCTTTGGCAGGTACTGCTCCTGCTCTAACCCATTCTCATACCCTTACTATATAAGCTTTTGCTTTTATACACAAGGTGGATCTTGTAGACGTTGTGGCCACTTTGGCAGTGGAGGAACCAACGTCCCCTCTGGCTTCAACAAAGAGGGCTCGGGATGAAGAACAACAATCTCCTTCGGCGAGACTTTTCTAAAACGGACTCGTGTCACAGAGGAAGATGCTTCAAGGGAGGTGACTCCTTTCATAAAGATACTGGATATTTTTGTTAGAACAAGATTTATTCATGACATATTCTATTTTAGAACAAAATGTATTTAAAGAACAATGGTTTATTTGATGTGAGTTTTATTTATGCAGGTTCTTGTTCTTATACATAAATAATCAAAATCTGTTTTACTTAGAGACACTTGGGAGTTGCTTCATTGCTAGCTTCTGGTGGCAGAATCTGAAGAATGTTTTCTACTAAGGCTTGGCGTAGACTCTGGTGCTGAAGGTTCAGTATTTAGACAAGTCACTATAATTGGCAATTGTATATCAGAATCTGGTACCAGTCAGAGTTGGTGATAAAGTTGGAAGTCGTCTGTATTGCAGAAAGCTAATTGTACTATCTTATCAGTTTGTCAGTTAAATTGCAATGCTTAAGAAAAGATGACATGCTTTATGGATGGCTACTTCTAACGGCTCTATGAGTAAGAAAAGATTGCAAGGTTAAACATGTTACATATTGGATTCAGAATCTGATGTACATCCATCTTCAACGTCTCTTATACTATGGGGCAAAAGACAAAGACACTTGATCAAGTCATTTCCTCAACGGCTAGTTTCCTACAAAGGCTATAAATATGGCTGAAGGTTCTTATTGGAAAAAAAGAACAAGGATTCTCCAAAAGAAGGAGTAGCAAGATCAAGCAATTATCAACTCTATTATAATATGCAGATTTTTTTGTTTGTAGGTTGTAATTGTAAAAGCATTAAGATTTCTTAAACATTGTATATCTTAGAAATATTAAGTGCTTTAGGTATTTGTTATGGTGATTTCACGTACCTCTAATACTTATATCATGTACACCTTGTTCTCTATCTTGTTTGGCCTATTCAACAGATTAAATCAAAGTCTCTTGCTATGTGTTTTAGCAAAAGTTTTGTCTCAATGGGATTCAAGCAACAAGTCTTAAGCCAAGATGCTTGAGCTACGTAAGTCTCCTGTTATGTGCTTGAGTTGTAATATTTTTAATTAGCAAGGTTAATTGAGCAGAAGTCTTGAGCCCAAATACTTAAGCCATATAAGTCTCATTGCTTAAGTGCTTGAGCTATAAAAGTCTTATTTAGCTAGACCGATTTAGCAAAGGGAAAGTTTTCTTCTGAGGGGCGTGAGCAGAAAGTCTCAAGTGCTGCTTGAGCAAGGAAGTCTCAGTCTGGATGGCCATAAGAGAAGATGGCTCATTTAGATGATGTGAGCAAGGAAGCCTCAATATGGATGGCCAGAAGAGCAAGTGGCTCGGTCAGAGGATGTAAGCAAGAAAGTCTCAGTCTGGATGGCCAGAAGAGCAGGTGGCTCAGTCAGAGTATGTGAGAAAGGAAGTCTTAGACATGTGCTATAAGCAAGAAAGTCTCAGACAGTTGGTCTGAGCAAGTGTAAAATACTTATGTAGAAGCATAAGGGATTGTAATCATGAAGTGGTTATAATGAAAATCTATTATGAGTAAAGGGGACTAGAGTACTCTCAATTAGGGGAAAAACCAGAATATATATTTTGTGTCTTCTGCTGCTATTAGTTTAATTCTGTTATATCCGCTGCCAATGAATTAAAACAGAACCCGAACACCAGTTTTGATTCTAAAACTCTTATTAGAAGTTAAATTAAAGAAAACACAAAAACACAATTCAACCCCCCTTCTTGCGTACTTTTCACACCTTCAATTGGTATCAGAGCTTGGTATGTGGTTAACACTTAACAGCGGCGTAGATAGTGATCCAATAAAAAAGTATAATTCTTCTTCAAGAAGGAATCAAGTGTCATATGTAGCACCCCAAAATTTACCCTTTCGTTTTAACCGTAACTGGCTTTTGTTTCCTTGCATTTTTGCATTTCCGCATATCATATCATTGTTTCTCGAGACATGGGATCGAGGCATTTCTATGGCTCAGGGTTCCTTTTGTTTCAAGAGTTCAAACAACGAGTATCAGAGGCTCCGACATTTATTTTGCCCAGCGATCGAGCGATCAATTTTATTCTTTTTAGCATGCTATTTTTAGCTCAGGAGACGGTGTACAGGCTATCTCAAGAATTCTCATAATCATAATATCCAAGGGCAAGTTTCAGAGGCTTAACAGAGCTTAGAAAAAGTGGTAACAGGTGATTATGCAGGATTCCCTCCATTTGGCGCCAAATTTGGGCATTTTTGAATGTGGTATCCGGTTACCACATATGGAGTAACAGGTTACTTCAAGCGAAATTGACCATAATATTTGAATTTTCTGCATGTTCAATTTTTCAATCATTTCCAACCATTGATTTCACATGATCATAATTGGAAGGATCTAGAGATATGTCAATTTTTACCATTTCCCTCCAAATTTCAAACACTGCATTCCTA